ATTATTTCTATTATAAACTCTACCTGGACATGTGAGAAATCCACACTTTTTGTTGAGGCCATAAAATAATAAATGTAAAGGTTGAAACTATGGCGGCCATTTTGTAAAACAAATGCAATCTGGACAAGTGAACTGAATTTTCGAAGCTGCTTGAAAGCAGAAAGATATCTTCAAGAAAAAAGTTCATGGCAGTGGGAAATATAACTTAATCTAGTAAGTTGGACACCAGTTAAAACACCTATTAAAATATATAATTTTGAATTTTAAAAGTTTTTATTTTTTTATTTGAAAGAACGAGTAGGGAGACTGGTGTTGTGGAGCGTCTCGCATTGGAGCAATAATAAGTTGGCAGCCTCACTCCAACACCGAGTGATATATGTTACTTAAAGACACTGTTGAGAACCACAGCTGCCACTAATGTGATGGTTCTAAGTTAAAGCTCCGCTGCCACCAATGTTGAGAGCCACAGTTGTCACCAATGTGATGGTTCTAAGTTAAACCTCCGCCGCCATCAATGTTGAGAACCACAGTTGTCACCAATGTGATGGTTCTAAGTTAAACCTCCGCTGCCATCAATGTTCAAAACCACCGTTGTCACCAATGTGATGGTTCTAAGTTAAACCTCCGCCGCCATCAATGTTGAGAACCACAGTTGTCACCAATGTGATGGTTCTAAGTTAAACCTCCGCTGCCATCAATGTTCAAAACCACCGTTGTCACCAATGTGATGGTTCTAAGTTAAACCTCCGCCGCCATCAATGTTGAGAACCACAGTTGTCACCAATGTGATGGTTCTAAGTTAAACCTCCGCTGCCACGAATGTTGATAACCACCGTTGTGACCACTGTGATGGTTCTAAGATGATCTACACCACAAATGCGATGAACGGCCGTCACCAATGTGATGGTTCTAAGTTAAACCTCCGCTGCCACCAATGTTGAAAACCACCGTTGTCACGTTGTCATAATTGAGTGTGAATATCCTAGATCGTTATTTCTAAGTTAACTTGACAACTTTATTTAAATTATGATATAAACCGTACAATTAAAAATATTTTTGAGCAATCATCCATTATATTCACAGTTTAAAAAAATTCTAATCTAATGTACCTCCTAAGAATTGTTTATTTGTCATTATACACAGAACGTTTTATGAAAAAAAATATATTGTTATATACATATATATACAGGGTGTCCCAATATTCCGTAGACATAGAACTACTACATATTTTTTGAAATCAAAATAAGGTCATTGGACACAATTTACCTCTATACAAAAGTGCTTTGTTTGTCCATTAGAAGGCATCAATCAAAAATAAACTCGAACGTTAATTAATTTAAAATTTATTAATTTTTAAGCTTTTTATGAAGCTTATTATCAAATATAATTTGTGATACTAACATACCATTCCGTATTTTCGCCAACTAGATATTATAGCATAACAGATTCTATACGCCTCCATAGTATCATGTGGCAAAAACATTTTTTGGAAGTCTGCTTCGGAAATATAATTTTTTCCTCAAAAAGTATGCGCGGTGGCGTTTTTTACGAGAGACAAAAAATGTAGTAAATACTAGAGAGACCATTATACAAAACAAAATCGGTCGTCGGTTGAGTTGGAAAATATTTATACTAATATTTATGTAGAGGTTGTAGGGGTGGGGGTATTTTTTACCCTTTCCTTAATTTATCTTAATTTTACTGAAAGTCTAATGTTAAAGCACTTAGCAAAACTAAAATCTCGGAATAACGGTTCTTAAAATATCTGAAAAAAAATTAAAGTTTCATGCCCTCTAACGGGCAAACGAAGCATTTTGTATAGAGGTAAATTGTGTCCAATGAACCTATTTTGACTCCAAAAATAAGTAGAAGTGCTATGTCTACGGAATATTGGGACACCCTGTATACCATAATACCATCTCCCCGAAAGTCAAAATTAAAAAATAAAATTTTAAAATTAAAGTTACAAGGATTCAGAAGATAAAGTACAGAAGTTAGAACAAAGTAATGTTCCCACACTGGAAAATTTAGAAGCTATGTGTATTAAGTTGATGGAACCTGAAGTGGCAAATTTTATGGTTGCCCAGTTAAAACTGATAAATAAATCCAGCAACGGGCGTAGGTATTCAGATGCCTTTAAAAAATTCTGTATGTCTTTATATTTTGTAGGTTCCAAATGTTACAAGTTGCTAGGTCGAACATTCCAATTACCATCAATTAGGTGCCTTGAAAGATATACCGAGAATTTATATTTCTCTGCTGGTGTCAATAATCACTTATTTCAATTGCTAAAATTAAAAGTCGATAAAATGAACACGGCAGATAAAAATTGTATAATTTGTATTGAGGAGATGTCTTTAAAATCTAATTATTTTACAATTATAGTAGAGATGAAATTATAGGACTAGAAGATAATGGTTTATTAAAGCAAAAAAATGTTGCAAGTTCCGCTACAGTAGTCATGGTAAGGGGTATAAAATTAAACTGGAAGCAACCTATCTGCTATTATTTTTCTTCATCCAGCTGTAGTGCACAGGATGCTAAAAATTTATTGGAAAACTGTTTGAACCAATTAAAAGAAATTGGTTTGAATATAGTTGCACTTGTATCTGACATGGGGTCTAATTTTATTGAACTAAGTAATCTATTAGGTGTAACAGAATGCAGCTTTTTCTATGTTGGAGACAAAAGATTATTTTATTTTTTTGATCCACCACATTTAATTAAAGCTACCAGAAATATTTTTTTAAGAATAAAATCATATGGGGTGGGAAAATAACAGATAAGACATATTGAACAATTCTATAAGAGATTCCACATTAAAAAACAGGCTTGCCCCAAAGCTTACTAAATCCCACATATACCCCACAAATTTCGAAAAAATGCGGGTAAAATTTGCTACTCAAGTAATGAGTGCAACTGTAGCTGCAGGATTAGAAACATATATCAGTTTAGGTAGTTTACCAGATGAAGCTTTGGGTACTGTAGAATTCGTTTCTAATTTTGATCAGCTATTTGAAATTTTCAATTCTTCAAATATCTTACATACGTACAAAATCATTTCAAAAAGCTTTTACATGTGCAACATTTCAGGTGGATTTTTTAACAGATATTTTGAATAAACTTGATAGTGCAGTTATAATTAATTCAAAGAGTAAAAATATTACTAATTTAACAAAATTTCTGCAGTGTTGGAAAATATCAATTAACACGTTGCTCAAACTGTGGTAAGTACTTAAAGAAATGGGATTTAGCTTTTTATTTACAAGAGGAATTAGCCCGCGGTTTCATTGGACGCGGGTCCGTGCGTTTTTTTAAACGTGCGAGCTCTGATGGAATTTACTCGCACGACTATTATATTTTAGTGGTTACATTAGATGCGCGTTCATGGTGTCCTGTGTGTCGAGTTTGTCAAAACGGACGCCACTACATTGATGCTGTCTGAGGATTTAATGTTAAAATAACTACTTATGAACAGAAGAAAATGTTAGGTAAATGTTTTATATGCAAAAAAAGGGGAAGAAAATGAATATGTAAAATACTTGGTGAATTAAAACAGGAACCGGTCAATTTTTTTGAATATTTTAGAATGTTTCCAGCAACATTAAATATATCTAAAATAAAAATAAACCTGGTATTCAAAAATATTCAAATTTTTTGGGAATGTATTGGACCGAGAGATATAAAAATTCGAACGCTCGGACGTGCACGTATTAAAAAAGCAAACCAGTTTGTTTTCATCCGACCCACGAAAATCAACGTACGTGCACGGACGCGCAAAGTCCGATGCAATGTAACCGCAAGCCTAGATACCATTTGTTTGTTTTTTGCTGCGTGCACGTCCGAGCACGTACGACTCTAGTACGACCAAAAAAACGCACGGACACGCATCCAATGTAAGAAAATTGTTTGCCAGTGTTCGTCAGCAAGGGGGTAACGCAGTAAACCCTACGCCTATTCAATTTATAACAGCTCTCAAGAAATTATTTATCTTAAAGAAGTATTTTCATACAGAAGCGATGAATTGCACTGAAGATTATAGCACATTATTAACATCAATAGTAGATTTTGGTGACAATCAAAATTTAATTCCATCTACTGATATTAATAGACAACCCTTTAATGTAGCACACTGCGATTACCACAGTAAAACGTTGCAGGAACAGAATGCATTTAAGTATATGTGGATATCTCATTAACAAATGCTTAAAAATCCATTGTTGTTTAGTTTGTGGAGAATTTGCTTCAGCGAATGAGCAGTTATCAGAATCAAATCTTTTTATTTATTATAAAGCTTATAATAATAATACGTCTCTATTTGGATCTTTAAAATCTCCACATGAAAGCTTTTATCATTATATCCCTACATTTAGGTAATAATATTTTAATTTATGCGAAAAAGAAACTATTTTTGCGCGTCCTTGTAAAAATTTTCCAATAGATTATTTAATTAAATTATATATTAGATTTGGAACTTTTAATATAATGAAATTCACAAATGTCTCGTTAAAGACTACAGAGAAAAGTAAACGTAAAGTATGTATTTTAATGAATTTATAATTTTTTAACTTATTTTATTGACACCTTGCGGTGAGAATATAAAAGATCGGGTATTGAGTATTGGACAGAGGTTACGAGAGTTAGGATTAGTTGGCAGAATAGAGGTACAAACCCAGGTAGTAAGTATATATATATATATATATATATATATATATATATATATATATATATATATATATATATATATATATATATACATATATATATATATATATAGCTATATACAGAGGTTTACGAGAGTTAGGATTAGTTGGCAGAATAGAGGTACAAACCTAGGGAGTAAGTATATATATATATATATATATATATATATATATATATATATATATATATATATATATATATATATATATATATATATATATATATATATATATATATATATATATATATATCGCACCAGATAAAAATTGCTTAACTCAAGTGCGGTACCGGACAAATTCGTCTTGTAGTTTTATTTTCATATTGTATGTGTTAGAGTTTATTTGGAAGAGCGTGCAAGTGCAAAAATGTCTTCTCGTAATAAAAAGATATTTGATTTATTGAAGAAACACAATCTAGATGAATCTTCTCAATTATCGGTAAGGTTTGATAATTTTAATAATTATGGTTCATTTTCTGATAAAAAAAAAAACATAAAAAGGCACCGACTCGAAGGATTGACCAGGATATGCCAGCTGATTTGCTTTGTAAACAAGATAATCATCAGTGCATTGAGGCTGAAGATCTAAATGTCTCAGCGACCCTTGAAAGTCCTCAGTTGCCGAACAGTAGTCCTCTAAGTTCTTACAATCCCTGTCAACTTTTGGTGAGCTTTTTATATTTTTATTGTACTTATTTTTCAACAACTCATTAAGTGCACATGTGCACGTGAACCCCCAAATTTAATGTATCTTCTTGAGGAAAAAACTAATTTAAATTTTATCATTCGATTTGTCATAGATTTGAAATTTATGCCGCCACTGCTGTAGGTTCCTTTATTCGTATTTGTCAGAGTTTTTCCGATAATAAGGTTTAATTTCCGTTTTCCCGTAGCTCAATCAAAGTGATACTCAAGTTCATCTTCCTGATCAAAATGCAAACTGCAATGATCCTCATACAATAAACGTAATCATGCAGCTGATGGATTATAAGTAAATGTAGAGCTCTTTTTTCCAAACTCCCAGATGAACATAAAATCACTGAAATTTGTCAGATAGACATGGTTTATGGTCTTCTTCATTATCGTATTAGAAAAAGAGTCAATAGAGATGATGTTCAAAATTTTAATGATTTATTACAATTAACCAGAGCAGTAGAGAGAACACTAGGAGAAAAAGAACCAAAAGAATCAAAATCTGTTGAAAAAGCAAGAAAGGCAGGTTTACACTGTGTATATTGCAAAAATTATGGACACACAAAAGATATTTGTAGAAAATTAAAAAGAAATCAAGACACAAGAGTAAAACAAGAAACTCCCAACCCTATTCAAGCAAGTGGTTCAAAAATGGAAGAAACTGTTAATAGTACTTCTACACTAACATGTTATGGTTGTGGAAAGAAAGGATTCATTAAGAGCAACTGTCCAGATTGTAGAAAACAGAACAGTAAAAATAACAATGTTATTACCACAGCAAGAATTGCAGAGTTTTATACGGAACAATATAACAGTGACTCCAGATTTCAACCGTTAGTATCTGTTGAAATGTTGGGACAGACAAGTGTTGCATGTATTGACACAGGAGCAAGAGGAAGCCTAGCAGATCCTCATACAATAAACGTAATCATGCAGCTGATGGATCATGCACAACCTGCTAGACAAAGGACGCATTTTGTATGGTGATAATTTCTATTCAAGTGTTCCATTAGTGAAAAAATTACAGGCAAGAAAAACTTTTTACTGTGGGACTCTTAGATCGAATAGAAGATCTTGGTGTTCCAAAAGAATTCGTGCACCAGAAAATTTCAAAAAATGAAGTATCAGGAGTTCATAACGGAAATGGAATAAAAATTATCAAATGGCAAGACAAAAGACCTATATTAATGATTTCCAATAAAAGAGATCATGATATTAGCCTTACGGATACGGGTAAAAAAATAGACAATCACATACAATTTTGAAGCCGAAATGTATTACAGACTACAATAAAGCTAAGAAAGGGGTAGATTTAAGCGATCAAATGTAGTCGTATTACACTTCTTTAAGAAAGGGACTGAAATGGTATAGAAAGACTGCGTTTGAGTTAATATTAGGTACAACTGTGGTTAATTCTCAGGTTGTTTACAATCATGTAAATAAAAACAATATGGAACAAACTGCACTCAACATGTTACAGTTCAGAGAAACTTTGGCATTCGCTTTAGTTGACCAAGGTGTAAAGAACTCTAGTTCAATTCACACACCTAAAAGAATACACACATTTTATATTGATAAAGGTCCCAACAAGAAACGGAGGAACTGTATAGGTTGCTATCAAAAACTAAGGGTCACATTATCAAGTCGGGAAGCTGATAAAAAAGTGCCCAAAGTAACAAGTTACTGCACAGATTGTGATAAAAAGCCAGCGATGTGTTTAACATGCTTTAACGAAAAGCATTCTAAATAAAAGTTCATGTTTTTAAGTTGTTTTTTTTTGGATATTGTTTATGAATGTTTGTATAACTATGAGAAAATAAAGTTTTTTTCTTTATGCAGATTTTGGTATTTTTCTTTTATTTTGCTTCTGGCGATTTAAAACGTTAATAGATTACATATTTTTTTAACCGAATTTAAGAAAAAACAACACATTGTTTTGTTAAAAATATGTAAATAGTGGGAAAAATTGACGTCAGACGTACCAGACATATACGTCTTGTATCGCCGCAATGGAATTGACAGGTATCGGACGTATTTATCTGGTATATTTGTTTTTAGAAAGGAAAACAAAATTGAAGCCGCAGTGAACGTGTTAAAGATTTATTTACATGACTACAAATAAATAAAATTTTAGGATACTTCGGCATTTGTTTTATTTCTGATATCTACCCGGCAATTTCTTATTTAATGTTATTAGAAATAAAATTTTAGGGTTATTACATATATGTTTTATTTTTGATACATACCCCCGTTACTTATATTAGTAATGAGGGTAGGTACTTATATTAGCGTGCAACGTAGACTAGCCCCCCCCCAGGTGCACCCTGAGCAAAAGTGACATTTTCACGGCAAAATAGTACATACTTTCCGACCTTTCTTAAAAAGTCATAATATTTAATTGCACATACTTTATGTAAGTATATATCGTCGGGATACAAGAGAATTTTATTTTTTAACAATATCTATACTAATATATAAAATCCTTAAGTGACTGACATACTGATTAATCACGATCCTGCTCAAACCATTCAACGTAAGAAGCTCAATTTTGGCATACAGGTTGATTCTAGGGTGTGGAGGTTCGATAAGAAGGGATATTTCGAAATTCCGGTTCCAAGAGGGTGAAACCACCCCTCAAATATTACAATATTTTTTATTTAAAAAACGGTAAAGTTTCCGAAAAAACGCTTAAACACGTATATTTTATTTAGTTTTTTTATATATTTTAAGATTTTTTAAAAATGTATACAGGGTGTTTCGAAAAATCTGGTCATTGATTAATCACGATCCTGCTTAAAGCGCTTGATGTAAAAAGCTGATTTTTGGAAAACAGATTGACTGTAGGGTGTAGAGGTTCGATAAGAAGGGATTTTTCGAAACTCGAATTCTAAGGGGGTGAAACTATCCCTCAAATATTAAAATATTTTTTATTTAAAACCGGTGAGAGTTTTCGGAAGAACTCTTAAACACGTATATTTTATTTTGTTGTTTTACATATTTTAAGATTTTTTATAAATTTATACAGGGTGTTTCATAAAATATGACCATTGAGTAATCACGATTCTGCTTAAACTGCTTGACGTTTAAAGCTGATTTTTGGTAAACGGATTGACTGTGGGGTATAGAGGTTCGATAAGTAATATTTGAGGGGCGTTTTCACCCTCTTGGAATTTGAGATTCGAGAAACCCCTCCTTATCGAACCTCTACACCCCATAGTCAATCCGTTTACCAAAAATCAACTTTAAACGTCAAGCAGTTTAAAATCATCGTGATAATCAATGGTCATATTTTTATGAAACACCCTGTATACATTTATAAAAATCTTAAAATATGTAAACAACAAAATAAAATATACGTGTTTCCAGATTTTTTCCGAACAACTCACCGGTTTTTAAATAAAAAAATATTTTAATATTTGAGGGATAGTTTCACCCCCTTAGAATTCGAGTTTCGAAAAATTCCTTCTTATCGAACCTCTACACCCTAAAGTCAATCTGTTTTCCAAAAATCAGCTTTTTACGTCAAGCGCTTTAACCCTTAAAGATCGCGCACACTATACCTACACGGACCGGCACGGACCAGACCAGTAAAATCTACCGGTGAAGGTGACCGTGTTATTTAATAGAGTAGAGCACACTAGACCAGTACCAGCACGTACTGCCACAAGCCACGACCGTCAAAACAGGTCGTGTCGGTCAGGGACAAATATGACCGACAATTTTTATGCCTGGTCGTGCTGGTCCGACCTAATGTGCGCACTGGCGAACCAGCACACCTCCACAAACATGCAAATATTGAAGGGTTCGTCAGTATTTCGAGTACGCTAGCTGGCTCAAGTCGCATGATGTAGGTTAGATTTCATTTATTTTTGTTTGAACCTTTAAATCGTTTTAAATATGAATGATACGAGCCAAGCATTTTATATATAGAGACCAAGAAAGAAAAGATGCAATATGGGAGTCGATAGCAAAAAAAAATCAAATTTGATTTGTGACATTCGAAAATATTGGAAAAACTTTTCTTCGAATCTTTTTAATTCAGGAAACAAATGATGAAATTCGCCATATTGCTTCTCTTTTGATTTATAGGGTGAACCCAAAATCTTCTTTTTTTCTTAGCTTCCTTCTCTTCCTCCTCTTCTTCACACAACATGGCTAAAATAATAATTTCCTCTGAACTACTCATTTTCAATACTTCTATGTTGCACGCTCTAGTAGTTGAGCCTTGACAACTGTACTTTTTTCGAAACTCTCGCTTATGTTGCTGGTCTGTGGCGGTAAAGTGTGCGACGTCATGCAGGATGCAGGTTTGTACTGTGCTGGTCCGTACTGGTCCGTTTAGGTATAGTGTGCGCGATCTTTTAACCGGCGTTGCGGAGTCCCTGGGACTCTAGTAAAAATAAATTGTTTCATAACTTTCGTATTTATCGACCAACCAACGCGCGTCGTCTACTAGCTTCCTATGGTGATGGTACCCATCGGATGTTGAGAGGACTTCGGTCTGTTATCACGGCAAGTGCATCTAACAAACATCTTAGACTCCGCGACGCCGTTAGTGTAATGATATCAATTTAGTGACTATGTCTAAGAAATTAAAGGTGGCTAAAGCCACAGATCCTAACTTTGAAGAAACTATGTTAAGATTGTTTAATGAGAGTGAGGAAGAGTTTTCTGACCAAGATGGAGAACCTGAGAGCCATGTTACAACAGAAAATGTTATCATAAGTGATCACGACATGGGGAGTGACATGTCTGCCGATGAATCTGATGATCAAGACGGGATGGAGGTTACTAAAACTTTAGAGGACAGTGACACAACTGACCCAACTAAAAAATATTTCTGTTCAATCAAATACTCAGGAAAAGTGTGTTCAATGCGTAGAAAATACCGAAGCTATATAAGCTATACTTTATTTGTTTTTAAACACTTGTAAATTTGGTGGTTGTATTCTTTTTTTATGTAGTTTTCACCTTGGTAATCACGTTTTTCAATGAGTAATGTTTTTTGTTAATTTTTCTTTTTGTAAAATACGATGAAAAGTAACATAATGTTAATTTTGTACAAACTGTATTACTTTTGGTTTGTTTGCTTTTTTACTTCATTTTGTAAATAATATGGCTGTAAAAATAAAAATATATTTCCTTGTAAGTGTTTAACAATGTATATAACGAAAAAAAAATATTATGTTATGATAACACTAATACAGCGCACCTGTATATTTTGGAGTCCCAGGGACTCCAGAACGCATAGAGTGCTAAAATTTCCGACCACGCCTGTTAAGGGTTAAGCAGGATCGTGATTAATCAATGACCAGATTTTTCGAAACACCCTGTATACATTTTTAAAAAATCTTAAAATATATAAAAAAACAAAATAAAATATACGTGTTTAAGCGTTTTTTCGGAAACTTGACCGTTTTTTAAATAAAAAATATTGTAATATTTGAGGGGTGGTTTCACCCTCTTGGAACTGGAATTTCGAAAAATCCCTTCTTATCGAACCTCTACACCCTAGAATCAACCTGTATGCCAAAATTGAGCTTCTTACGTTGAATGGTTTGAGCAGGATCGTGATTAATCAGTATGTCAGTCATTTAAGGATTTTATATATTAGTATAGATAAGTAAATAAAATGTTGGAGTATGACATCATTTTCTATAAAGGGTAAAAATTATTGTAGATACCCCTCATTATATGTTTATTTTTGTTACTGAAATTGTATTATATTTAATGCCAAATGTCTCAAATAATTATTACATCCATTTATTAAAAAAAAAATAAGAATGTCTCAAAAATGGTTCTCATATAATATGTAGTATATAGTAAGTACAATAAAAAAGTGGATTTAATTTTATGTTAGCTAACAAGTAACTTTTCTTAATAATTTAGTATACTTATCATATTCAACAAACGTAGTTGAATCTGTTGCTGTTTTTTTTTATTTTAATATATTGCAAGTTACTGTTTTTAAGCTTCAGAAACATACTTTTAACATTGGAAATGTTTATGTTCGTATATGGGGGCCAAATTTCGAGTTTTCTTGCAAGGTCATCAGCACCGGTATCGCACTAACCGCACAGTCGACCAAATTAAAGCATCAAAACTTTGTCGCGTGATGCCTAATTTAGGTGAACGGGCCTGACAGCACGAAACGTTAGATTAAGAACACGAAGCTATCGGCGATATACGAGGTTTAATTTTGTTAGGCCCGACGATATTACTTGACGAGTATGCTACGGGGGGAGATTATAAAATTGAATAGATTGATATTGATATTTGCAAAGGATATAAAACAGTACTATGTCGTAATTTTTGATTTGGGTTTTGACAATTATTTATGTTGTTTGTAATGAAACGATATTTTTATTTAGGTATTATAGAAATCCTGAATTATGACTCTTGGCTGAGTATTAATTTTTATTTGTTTGTGATGCAGTAAAGTGACGTTTTCTACTTTTGTTTAGTTATTATTTTGTTGTGTTCAAAAAATGTGTTTTTTATATTTTGTTGTAATGTGTTATTTTTATTTTTTTAGAAAATTTGTAGGTATTTAAGTAATCTACGGGAATACGGTTTGATAACCAAGTCTATGAAATTTATTGATAGAGAAATTCATGTAAACGTTTTATTCAAAAAATGTGTTTTTAAAATTACTTTTTATTTTTAAAAAACAAATGTGCTAGGCCCCCCTTGGGCTCAACCCCAGGCCCACCCCAGGATAAATTGCTAGTTACGCTAATGAAGACCAGAAATGCCGACCCTTAGTATATCGAGAAACTATGGTTACGCTCGTTGTATTCACTTTATGTCAGTTTAATATAGGGTTGCCAACTTTCAAAATCAAAAATAGAGGACGAGGGGCTTAAAAAAGAAGCATAGGCGAAACATTTTTTAAAACCTCGCCGAAATGTAAAAAAAATGTATTTACCAAAAAATTATGTCAGCGGTATGCATTTTGATGGTCTTTCTTACTTTCTTAAAAATTGTATACTCAAAACTTGTTAAAATAAAACAAACCATTAACAGTAAATAACCATAAAATAGTTAAAACAGGTTTATCGCTTCCACAGATTTCTTGTTCATAAATATTTCTTCATTTTCTTTTCTGTACAAACGAGTGGGAGTAGAGAAAAACACAGATTAACACTTTTTTAAAGCATTGTGGCGATAGACGAATATTTTTTAGATCTTAAGTTTGGTATGTAAAAAAAAGAGGACTTTTTCACTGCGTAAGAGAAAAGAGGACAGTGAGATCAAAAAGAGAACTGTCCTCCGGGATAGAGGACGGTTGGCAACCCTAGTTTAATAATATATTTTCGTACTTCTGTGCTTAGGCGTAACAATGCTTTATTTTTATGGCTAGGCGTTAAAATTACTTTTTTATGTTGTCAATCACGTCGCAAAAATGTATAGATACTTTTGTGACGTTTGAAAAAAAAAATACATTTATAACTTTCAAAACTTAAAACTTACGAAGTAAAAGAATGAATTTACACTGCTGAATTTATCGATAATATTTAAACTAAATTTATTAAAAATAATATATTATTTTGCATTATTGCCACATTTCTAAAAAGGGAACATTAAAATCCGGACGCTTATGAGAAACGAACCTAACGGGATGTAGTGAAAATCTGGACATGTCCGGATTAAAATCCGGATGTCTGGTAACCCTAACTATATTTGCATATTTTTTCTCTAAAACAGTATGGAAATTTGTAAAAGCATAAACGAGATTAACAATTGGTAATTATTGGCAAAAATTGGAAATCGTCCGATTTTCATCTAAATTGGTATACACCCTATTTTGAGGTCGTAGATTACGAATCTGAACTTTTTTTCTGGCGGTCTCTTACCGTTTTTCAGAAAAACGAAAAAATATTTCAACATCGAATTTTTCTTAATTTCTCATATTTTTAAAGTTTTCTAGGACATATTTTGTTAGGTATTCAATAAACAATGATGTTTTTGCAATTTTCTGTTACTTTTTTAACCAATGCATAATAGAGGAAAATTTGCTAAAATAAATTTGTAAACAATCTGAAAATGTTGGGTTATGTGTTTCTGGCATTTAAAACAACGTTGCCAATGCTAAACCTAAATTTAACGTGTTTTTTTTGCTCATTCTAGGATTACGAAAGGCGGTCGCTAGAAGAACGACTCCTTCCCATAACTGCTATTTTACCAACGAGATCTGACTATTTATAACCACGAAGTTGCACGAAAGAGTCTTGATTGCATTGGTTACAACTTCCATGCAGAGGGTGTTAATCTTTTGTTGTTATATCAAAAAAAGATTAACCCCCTCCAGTAATTGTAAAATTTTAATCAAAACTTTTCCGCGTAACTTTGTGGATATAGGTAGGTAAATATATTTAATTAATGTCAGATCTCATAATAGGTAATTTATTTAAAATCCCTAATCACCCGAAAAAATAGAAGATATGACAACGTTGTAAATTTTCATATTTCTATATCAGGTCTAGTACATGATACAAAGAATACAAGGTATGATATTGCGCAGGTTGGTTACTACGTCACAGGTGATAAACGGCACCATTGGTCGGCAAGCTCCGCGCGCCAATTTCAAATTGTCAAACAGATGACACAATAAACGCGAAAATAATTTTTCAAATGTCAAGCTCGATAATTTGACATAACTTTTGGGGTTATGTCCTGATTCTTCCCTATTTTAGTTTTTTTTTTATTAGTGGCAATTGAACAATATGGATATTTTTCTGTCTAGCGTATGACGTTACAGGTGGTATGCGCAAACTTAACGAAATTGGAGCCGCTATCGATCATACCTTGTTTTCTTTGTACCATGGGTCTAGTATATATTTGTCTCTCTCATTACATAGTAGAGACAAAGAAGGATATATGAAATGTCAAACTTCTATCTGGTCTCAATTTTCTTTGTTATTTTGTTAAGAAAAGTGTTTTTCAGTAAAATTTTCGACATTTTTCTATCCCCAATCAAGTGTGGTTTTTAGATAAACTATAATATAATGAAAATATAGTGAAATCATTACTTTATAGGGCCGAAATAAAGAAAAATTCAATGTCGAAATTATTTTCAGTTTTTCCGAAAAACGGTAAGAGACCGCCAAGAAAAAAGTTCAGATTCGTAATCTACGACCTCAAAATAATGTGTATACCAATTTTGGTGAAAATCGGACGATTTCCAGTTTTCCCAATAATTACCTAACAAGGTTTTTAGAGCAAACAAAACTTTTATGAAGAATGAATTTTTCTCAAAAATTTAATAACACAAAAGTTTTTTCTCTTGTAAATCCAATCCGGGACATAGAGAGTAGTGTACTTGTGCCAAACAGACAACCGATATAGATCAATAGGATTATGATGTAAAACAGTTATGAACGTTCAAAATACGCTAATAAACAAGTTTAAACAAGAAACAACCACTTAAAAACAGAAAACAACCACCAAAATGCTTAAAATAACAGGTCTGTTTTATTTATTTTTTAAAGTGGTTTGTCTGTTTTTAAATGGTTGTTTCTTGTTTAAACATGTTTATTCTTGTAGTAGCAAATTTTGAAAATCCTTATCTGTTTTACGTCGATCGCCTATTGATCTATATTAGTTGTCTGTCTGGCACAAGTGTCGCCATACCTACTATACAGTATTTAAGGACATAAATAACAAGAATAAAAATTTTTGGTTTGGTAAAAAATTGTAAATACATACATATATCCATTGCAAATTGTAAATTCCTTAAACACTCCGGAAGGTATACGTTTCCAGTTTCAAGAATGGTTCCATCTAAAACAAATCAAATTATAAAATGATTAAAGGATAAAAAATCAGTTAGAGACAGTAACATTCCAACTCAAATACTTAACGAAAATGCTGATCTCATATTGCAGCCTCTCGCATACACTAAGTTTTCAAATTGGTGTACCTATATCTTGATCTCTGAAAAATGTTCTTAAACCTGTATACATGGAAAAGAAAACAAGTGGTCGATATTCATAATTTCCAACAGACCTATAGAAATATATAGATTTTTAATTTCTGATATATAAAGAGTGAAAGATTAATAGACTTCTGACTAAAAACCGATTTTTATAAAGACATTATATTCAAATCTTCAAAAATAAAAAAATCATTGCCAGTTAAAACGTAGGACAAAATAAATGATCAAATTTAATGTTATCTGACAAGTCTAATAACACTTTTTGCTAAAACATTTTTTTTGACAATAGAGACAGTGAACTTTGACCACTTTCAAATCCAATAGAATACCTATAAAGGAGAAAGATGAAAACCAACCAACTTCATTCATATTTAGTAGTACCTTTTGTCATAATGTTGTATTTCTATTAATAGAGAACAACGGCATACGGTCGAGTCGGCCTACAAACACGTAAACGTTTACGTACGCATGCGCATTTCTTATATTTTTATTTTTATACACGTAAAAGATTCTTTACGTCTACGTATACGTGCCAGCAGCGGCCGACTTGACCGTATGCCGTTGTTCTCTAATGTTTAACAATTTATAGGTTGAATTTCAAAATTATTAATTATGTACATTAACATACATACATGTAGATCTAAAATCCTCTTATTTTCAACTCATTTGTACTCTAATCATCTAATCTGTATCTATAACTAGAGAAACTAGAAATATCTCTAGAAATGGAAACACAATAGTCTAACCTACCTAAAACAAAAGTAAATTTATTAAATATCCACTTTATTTAGGGTTCCCAACTTGAGCATCGGCGATTCCGGGACAATTATTTTTAAATTTTTAAATAATTGAAACAAAACATTAAATATTAGAAATTCAAATATATTATACATAAATGTGATTTTTTTGGTCCCGACCAAGGCAAAATTTTCGCCGGGACAAACTTTCTGATTCCTGATTAATCCCGGTTAAACCGGGACGGTTGGGAACCCTAACTTTATTTCATTTTCAAAATACTATAGAAACGAGTATTATTTAACTTGAAACATTTCACCAAATTTTAGAAAAATACTGTAAAGAAAAAAAAATGTTATAGCAGTTGAATAACACCTTTTCAACATATTAAGTATAGGGATGCCAACCGTCCTATGACAGTCCCCTTTTTTACCTCATTGTCCTCTTTTCTCTCACGTGTTGAAAAAGTCCTCTTTTTTACATACCAAACTCAAAATCAAAAAAATATTTGTCTATTGCCACAAGTCTTTAAAAAATTGATAATCTGTGTCTTTTGCTACTCCCACTCCACAAGAAATATTTATGTATAAGAAATATTTGTGGAAGCAATAAACATGTTTAACTATTTTATGTTTATTTATTTACTGTTAGCTTAGGTTTTAGGGTTCCCAACTGTCCCGGTTTGGCCAGGATTAACCAGGAATCAGAAAATTTGTCTTGGCGAAAGTTTTGCCTTGGCCGGGACCTGGAAACTAAAAAAGTGTACACACATAATTTAAAAATAATGTTTTGTTTCAATTATTTAAAAGCTTAAAAACAATTGTCCCGGAATCGCTGATGCTGAAGTTCGGAACTTTATTAGGTTTCGAAAAAAAAAGGTTTGTTAAAAATGGTTTGTTTTAGTTTAAGAAAGTTTTGAATATAAGATTTTTAAGAAAGTAAGAAAGACCATCAATCCGCATACCGTTATTGACATAACTTTTTGGTAAATACCAAACATTTGGGCGAGGTTTCAAAAAATGTTTTGCATGTGCCTTCTTTTTTACCTTCTCATCCTCTTATTTTTTATTTTGAAAGTTGGCAACCTTAATTAAGTATGAGTTAAAAACCTTGGAAAAAAATCTTCTTCGAGTGAACTCTATTTCTATTAATTATGAAAAAAAATTGTCGTGAATACAATAAGCTATAAATATTTTTGCAAAAAAATTAACTTATAAAGTTTTCAAAGTTAGGTATTGATATCTTTCTAAAAAATGAATAATATTCCTGACCTGTGCTTTTTTATGTACTGCTTTTAAGATTATTTACATTGTTACTTGTAATTACCGATACAAAGATGTGGAACACAAATCTTGCTTAAGTTGAGGATGCTAACTGTGCATGGTTACAATTGTAACTTATTGAGGTACCTATCTACTTCAGACATTCTTACAACATAAATTTCTACATCTTAAACATGGACACTAAAAGGAAAAAGAGATTCTTCGGTTGAAAGCAAAAAGCACCACACTTAATATCAATTGGCCTTCTTCTCCAGGCCAGAAATCAGTCCACCATTCACCTTCGCCACGCACAAGCTTTCCTACAACTGTAAAAACAAGGAACATTGGACTGAAAAATGGCAAGATTTATATAGGAAGAAAGGGTATTATGCCAATAAGAAAATTAAATCTGTAGGCAGAAGTTTCTTATTTAAAAACTGTTATGGGGCATATATTAATGTGTATCTGTGCCACAAATCACTAAGAAAAATCATATAATATTCATAATTGTTAACAAGATGATATTTAAAAAGTGTTAAAAATGAGACTTATTTTTTATTTTGAAAGTTGGCAACCTTAATTAAGTATGAGTTAAAAACCTTGGAAAAAAATTTCTTCGAATTTTACTGAAAAACACTTTTCTTAATAAAATAAACATAATAAACAAAGAAAATTTCCACAAAACTGACAAGATTGACATGACCGTTCATATATCCTTCTTTCTCTCTCTATGCAACGAGAGAAGACAAATATAATCTAGACCTGATCTAGAAATCTGTGAAAATTTGCAACGTTGTAATGTAGCATATTTTCCAAGGGGATTAGGGAGCTTAAATAAAATACGTTTTATTTAATATACTTTTTAATAAAATAAGTATATATTTGGTAAAGGTGTGGATCCGGTGGCTGACCTTGAAGGCCATATTTGCTGCATTTGATCATCGATACTACGCAAGCGCACATCTTCGATGTTGCCAATTTGCAGTTTATTTTCGAATTATTTGCAGTTAAAATTTTTTTTTTGAGTGTTAATCAATAATAATACAAATTCTATATAATTAATTTTATAATTTCAGACTCTATTTCTATTAATTCACGAAAAAAATTGTCGTGAATACAATAGGCTATAAATATTTTGCAAAAAAATTAACTTATAAAGTTTTCAAAGTAAGGTATTGATATCTTTCTAAAAAATGAATAATATTCCTGACCTATGCTTTTTATGTATTGCTTTTTAAGATTATTTACATTGTTACTTATGATTACAGATACAATAGATGTGGAACCTAAATCTTGCTTAAGTTGAGGATGCTAACTGTGCATGGTTACAATTGTAACTTATTGAGGTACCTATCTACTTCAGACATTCTTTCAACATAAATTTCTACATCTTAAACATGGACACTAAAAGGAAAATGAGATTCTTCGGTTGAAAGCAAAAAGCACCACACTTAATATCAATTGCCCTTCTTCTCCAGGCCAGAAATCAGTCCCCCATTCACCTTCGCCACGCACAAGCTTTGTTAAATTTTAAATAATTACAACGCGTTGGAATTTCTTCACTTTAAGACGAATAAAATAAAAATAAATGTTTTATCTTTTTCTCTTTAGAAGGGAGATGGTTTGTGTCGTAGAATACATTACAGTATTTAATATTGCTGATATTCTTTTCTAATTTACTGTAATTTCTTGCTATAATAATGCCAAATCTTGTCAATATGGTGAAGGTTGAGATTTGATCTTATTAGTTTACACCTGTGTTTATACAAGACCAAAGTGGAAATCGTCCGATTTTCACAAAATTGGTATACAATCTATTTTGAGGTCGTAGATTACGAATCTGAACTTGTTTCCTGGCGGTCTCTTACCGTTTTTCAGAAAAACGGAAAATTATGTCAACATTGAATTTTTCTTAAAATTTCCGCTGTATAAAGTAGTAATATCACTATATTTTCATTATATTATAGTTTATCTAAGAGCTGTTCTTGATTGTGGATAGAAAAATACTCAAAATTTATACTGAAAAAACACTTTTCTTAATAAAATAAACATAATAAACAAAGAAAATTTCCAAAACTGAGACAAGATTGACACTTGACCGTTCATATCCTTCTTTCTCTCTCTATGCAACGAGAGAAAAACAAATATGTATCTAGACCTGATCTAGAAATCTGAAATTTGCAACGTTGCCATGTCTTATATTTTTCGGGGATTAGGGAGCTTAAATAATAAAAATATTTTTATTTAATATACTTTAATAAAATAAGTATATCTGTGGTAAATCAATTGAACTCTGACACTTGGCTGACATTGACAGACGTGACGTTTTACGGTTCCTTTTTCTAAATATTTTCATTATTTTTAGTTTTTATTCACAATTTCTACTTGATTTTGTTCTTTGTGCAGCCTGCAGTACTAATTATATAGTTATAAGTTATAAATAATCTTTTCACCGATCAAGAACTGAGGAATAGGCTGGAAGATATTCAAAATATTAATAAGAAGCAACTTAAAACGTATTAGAAATGTTGACTCGTCCACAAATTCATTGAAAATAAATTAGTCAGATGTTTGTAAAAAGGTCTCCTAATTATTTTTGAGAAGTTTCCTCGTATCAGTAATTTTCGATGTTGCCAATTTGCAGTTTATTTTCGAATTATTTGCAGTTAAAATTTTTTTTGAGTGTTAATCAATAATACAAATTCTATATAATTAATTTTATAATTTCAGATTTATCTTGATATCCAAAATTAAGATAAGAAGAATAATGAAGATTTGTTGAAATGAAAAGAGTCTATGAATATAAAAATTGTAATAATAATAACATTTATTTATATATTTACATTAAAATTTAAAATTATCATGTACGGATTTCTTCTTAATGGTTTTAAACTTATTAGAATTATTTTATTTCTTTCAAGTTATTTAATTTCTAGTTATTTACAGGCAACAATAGTTTTGATTATATGTATTGATGTTTTGAAATACTACCATGACGAGTCTTATACATAGAACAATACACGTCAATGGGAGAATAGAGTAACATCTTTTACCTATACATTGTATAATTACTAATATAATATACTTTTGATTATATTTGTATCATAATTTCTTAAAAGGTATCAAGTTAGTGGATTAAGAGCAATTTTAGACATATATTTTTGTCGAAGATTCTGATGTGTTGATAAGACTAAAATAAGCTTTATATTTTATCTTTTCTCTCTTTATATGAAGGGAGATGGTTTGTGTCGTAGAATACATTACAGTATTTAATATTGTACTCATTGATATTCTTTTTCTAAATTTACTGTAATTTCTTGCTATAATGCCAAATCTTGTCAATTTAAGGTTGAGATTTGATCTTATTAGTTTTTACACCTTGTGTTCTATACAAGATAAATTAAGATTAGTCTGTGATTTATATTAAGATCTTTCTTATAATATTTGTCATGTCTTAATCCTAATACTATATAAAGCTTTGTTTGGAAAATAAATGTTAAAATATCTTAATTTTGCATATCCTATTCCACCCTTCCATTAGGAAAAATATGTGTTTATAAAAACATATTATGCTAGAGAAAATCACTTCGAATCTGCTTAAAAATACCTTTATTCTTGATAAATAATTTCAATAATCTATGTTTATTTATGACAACCACCTAATAACCCTAACTCTTAAGGTAGTAGAAAATTAATGCAATATATGTATAAGCAGAGATTAAACAAGTTAACTGTAAATGTTGCTCAAGATGATTCTACAATTTTAATTACGGAGGCTAAAAGGCCTTTTAAGGCCTCCATAGTTTTGATGGAATGTTAAAAAAACTATTATGAACATGACATGGAGCTACAGCATTTAAAATAAAAAACAACTTGGACACATCCCTTTTAATATTTACCGAATTTTTAATAAAGCACTTTTAAACGTATAGCATAATAATCTGGAGCAATTAGATTAATTATAGGAATCTAGAATTTATATTTCTATTTAATTTTATTGACTATAAAAATACATAATAAGCGTTCACGTTTCGTGTTGTGCGAAATAAAACAATAATAATATAAATAATATACCGCGTAATATGATTGAAAAAAATAGCGTCAGCGATGACTATGAAATGAAGATCGCTGTCATTTTATATGGGAAATGTCCTCAATCGTCATTTCCCAGCCAACTGGACGACGATTTTTGATCATACTGTATATATTGACAAAAACACAGAAAAGCACATATTTGTTTCTACTGAAAATAATTCCAAAATAACTTGCAATCTGGCAACATCGAAGATGTGCGCATGCGTAGTGTCTGTGACTATATGCAGCAAAAACTCGTTTCAAGGTCAGCCACCGGATCCACACCATTACCTAAATTTATATGGGAAATGTCATCGATCGTCATTTCCCAACCAACTGGACGCCATTTTTTTTCGATCATACGGTATTTTCTACAATAGGTAAAGACAATGATAAAGAATCTAGGACAAATAACACCCGAGAGCAAATTGTGACGATGTCACCAAACAGTGCCGTGGCACCAGAGAAATAGAAGGGATAGAGAATGAGCGTCAACATGCGCAGAAGGTCTAATAATCAAGTTGGGCGCCATATTCCAGGTCTTCATGTCATTTTTGTATATTGGTGGTAATCTATAAGTAATCAAATATCAATTTGCTGTTTTCAACCGTACGGGGGGCAATTTAAATTTAGTGAAATCTATCATTTATTATGGTTAGCTAACATTAATATGATTTATTTAATTATCAGTTTCAAAACTGCGTACAATATTGGTATATAATACATACACTAAATATACGAATATTCTGACAAAAGACGCTACGGACAGATGACCTTTTCGTCGTTAAACACTCGAAATGATATTAAATAAGTATTTACAATATTTCATGTTTACTTGTACTGAATTACGCGTTTCAATTTAAAATTTTTTGCAAATTTGGTAAAATTGTTCTAAACAACTTTTGTTCAAGTTGTAGGTATATTCATAAAAACATTTGGTTCATAATTATTTTTGATGATTACCTACCTTGTATTTTTAATATAAACCTAGAAAAAATATGTTTTTGTTTTTTTTTTTTTGTTCGTCCCTTCAAATTGTGTTACAAAAACTGTTACATAACATGACCTCTAACAAATATTTTCATAATACATAAACATGATTGATTTTATTAAGGGTATTATTATTAGTATTTATCCTGGTTTTTGTCGACAATAAAAACTCAATCTTGGGTAAAGGTGTGGATCCGGTGGCTGACCTTGAAGCCCATATTTGCTGCATTTGATCATCAATATTACGCAAGCGCACATCGTCGATGTTGCCAAATTGCGGTTTATTTTCGAATTATTTGCAGTTGAAAATTTTCTTTTGAGTGTTAATCAATAATAATACAAATTCTCTAAATAATTTTATAATTTCAGATTTATCTTGATATCCAAACTTAAGGAATGATATATAAAATTGAATATATAAAATTGTAATATTCAATAACATTTATTTATATATTTACATTAGAATTAAAAATTATCATTTACGGATTTTTTCTTAATGGTTTAAACTTATTAGAATTATTTTATTTCTTTCAAGTTATTTAATTTCTAGTTATTTACAGGCAACAATAGTTCTGATTATATGTATTGATGTATTGAAGTACTACCATGACGAGTCTTATAGAACAATACAAGTCAATGGGAGATAGAGGTAACGTTTTACCTATAATGTTACTCTCTGATGTTACTAATATAATATATACTTTGATTATAATATGTTTGTATCATAATTTCTTAAAAATATCAAGTTAGCGGATTAATAGCAATTTTAGACATATATTTTATCGAAGAGTGTGGTGATAAGACTAAAATAAGCTTTATTTATGTCTTTTTCTCTTTAGAAGGGAGATGGTTTGTGTCGTAGAATACATTACAGTATTTAATATCGTGTAGTTTGATAGTCTTTTCTTAATTTACTCTAATTTTTTGTTTCCTATAATGCCAAATCTTGACAATATGGTGAAGGTTGAGTTTTGATCTTATTATTTTTATACCTGTGTTTATACAAGACCAAATTAAGACTTGGTTAGTTTGTGATTTATATTAAGATCTTTCTTATAATATTTGTTATGTCTTAATCTTAATACTATATTATGCTTTGTCTGGAAAATAAATGTTAAATATCTTAATTTTGCATATCCTATTCCATCTTTCCATTAGGAAAAATATGGTTTATAGATCATATATGCTAAGAAAATCACATAAATTAGGTGTAAGAATAGAGAAATTTTAAGGTAGCAAAAAAATTAATGCAATATATGTATAAGCAGAATTAAACAAGGTAACTGTTAATGTTGCTGAAGCTGATTCTACACAATTTTAATTACGGAGGCTAAAAGTCTTTTAAAGGCCTCCATAGGATTTGATGGAATGTTAAAAAAAACTATGACATGACATGAAGCTACAGCATTTAAAAATTTAAAAAAAAGAAAAAAACTTGGACACATCCTTTTAATTTCCCGAATTTTAATAAGCCAACTTTTTAAACGTAGCATAATAATCTAGAGCAATTAGATTAATTATAGGAATCTAGAGTTTTATTTCTATTTAATTTTATTGACTATGAAAATACATAAAAGCATTCACGTGTTGTGCGAAATATTAAAATAATAATAAATAATACCGCGTACTATGATTGAAGAAAAAATAGCGGCAGCGATGACTATGAAAATGAAGATCGCTGTCATTTTATATGGGAAATGTCCTCAATCGTCATTTCCCAGCCAGCTGGACGACGTTTTTCGATCATACGGTATATATTGACAAAAAAACACTGAAAAGCACATATTTGTTTTCTATTGAAAATAATTCCAAAATAACTTGCAATCTGGCAACATCGAAGATGTGCGCATGCGTAGTGTCTGTGACTATATGCAGCAAAAACTCGTTTCAAGGTCAGCCACCGGATCCACACCATTACCTTTTTATTTCTTTAAATTGATCAACAAAGTTTTTTGGTTATGTTTTCACTGTTATTTAAAAAAACGGTAATGGTGTGGATCCGGTGGCTGACCTGAAAAGCTGATTTTGCTGCATGCTTGCGACAATACGCATCGCATCGATGTTGCCAATTACAAGAAACCGAGAGTATTTTCAGTGAAGCAAATCGGCAAGCTTTCAGTGATTTTTGTCAGCTATAGCGTATGATCGAAACGGCGTCAAGCTGATCGAAATGACGATTGACAGCTGAGTATATAAACATCGATCTTCATTTCAAGTCATCGCTGACGCTATTTCAACCATAGTACGCCGGTATATTATTTATATTATTATTTTAATATTTTGCTGGCTACGTACGCTTATATTATGTGTATTTTCATAGGTCATCAAATTAAATAAACTTCAGATTAGTCTAATTACTCTAGGTATGCTACGTTTAAAAGTGCTGCAAAAATTCGGGGTAAAAGTAGAGTTTTCTTGTATTATATACCAATATTGTACGCAGTTTTGAAACTGATAATTAAATAAATCATATTAATGTTAGCTAACCATAATAAATGATAGATTTCACTAAATTTAAATTGCCCCCCGTACGGTTGAAAACAGCAAATTGATATTTGATTACTTATAGATTACCACCAATATACAAAATGACATGAAGACCTGGAATATGGCGCCCAACTTGATTAGACCTTCTGCGCATGTTGACGCTCATTCTCTATCCCTTCTATTTCTCTGGTGCCACGGCACTGATTGGTGACATCGTCACAATTTGCTCTCGGGTGTTATTTGTCCTAGGATTCTTTATCATTGTCTTTACCTATTGTAGAAAATACCGTATGATCGAAAAAAAATGGCGTCCAGTTGGTTGGGAAATGACGATCGATGACATTTCCCATATAAATTTACATATAAAATGACAGCGATCTTCATTTCATAGCCATCGTTGACGCCGTTTTTTCTCGATCATATGGTATATCGATATATCTAATATATCGATATATCGTTGCCATCCCTAAATAAAAATAACATAACCAAACATTATCCAAAAAAAGCTTTGTTTTTATTTTTTTAGAATATAAAATAATTATTTTTTATCCATATTTTGTGCTTTTTTGGTATACAGCTTTATTTATTATTTAACAATGGTTAAAGTGTGTGGTGCGAAGTTGATTGAATAGCTGATGGAAAAATAAAGAGCAAAGGATATACTTTTTCCAACCTACGGTATGTAAAAATCATAGGTAAAAATTCAGTATTATTTGTATTATATCTGATTATATGTGAAAATTTGAGTCAATCAAAGGTGTAGTAATGATTTTTCGTAAGATTATTGATATACATGTTACAAAGTATATGTTTACAACGAATAAAATTTATTTTTAATTTTAAAATTTGACAGATATGCACAAATTGTTGACATTTTTTTAAACCAGTAAAAGTGGTAAATACATTAAAAATTGTACTTTCAAGAAATATATTTAACTATGTGCTGTATTTTAATAATCTATCATTTTAATCAAAGTCATCAGGATAATATTAGGTATTGATTTTCAGACAAGAATTAGATTACAGTGATGGTCAAAAGCATTAGATATTGCTTTGAAACCTACAGACAAGGCAAGACAAGGTATGGTTTCATTTTAAAGAACAAGATGTTAAAGTTTATGATAAAATTGTCATCAGGTACTGTTAGGCTTCCCAACTTGAGCATCGGCGATTCCAGGACAATTATTTTTAAGCTTTTAAATAATTGAAACAAAACATTAAATATCAGAAATTAAAATATATTATGTGTGTAGTACACACTTTTTAATTTTTAAACATAAAACATGACATAGAAAAGTAGGAAAAAAACATAACATGAATTATAAACATAAATCATAACATAGATAACTTCGGTAACTAGGAAAAAAAACTAATAAATATTATTGGCAAAAACAATTATTAAAATGAACTACAAAACAAACCCCTTTTCATTGCTACTTAAATCTATATTTTTGTTGAGATCGTGCAGCCTGAAGCAGTTTTTGATCTGATTTAACTATAGAGCCAAAAAGTCCTCACATTTTAATTTAAAATTTAGTCTTACTTGTATTTCTGATTTTACTTGAGATATACTCAATCGATTTCTTTCCTTGGTCCACAATGCTTCCATAATGCTGAAAACACGTTCGCAAAAAGCATTGCCGACAGGAATCGACATTATGTAGAAGAAACCAATTTAAACATTTCATTTAAGTTATCACTGGCAACATCAGCACTAAAAATCTGAACCCACTTTTCCATTACATTTTTTTCAGAAAAAGATTCGAGATTTTCAATAATATTGAATATTGCCGGTTGCTCTATTCACGAAAATTTCTGAATATCGTAAAACTACTGTTAAGTTAAAGATTTTAGGGATTTTTTAGGTCCCGGCTAAGGCAAAACTTTCGCCGGGACAAACTTTCTGATTCCTGGTTAATCCCGGCCAAACCGGGACGGTTGGGAACCCTAGGTACTGTTCACTTACAGTATTTACTTACATAGGAAAATATAGGAGGATGAAGCTCTACCTCCTACCTTAGGTTAATTTATATTCTGAGTTGCAATGACAGCAACAAGCAAGAAGGGAACCATTAAATGAATATTATACACATAAGTATTATTATACACAGAAAGAGATACACATAAATATCAACATTTTGTAGAGCAACAACAGAATAAAAGACCAAAATGTGAACACCAGCAACTAAAGCTTGATTTTCATGGATCCGTTGTCCGACGATACATTGATACGATATTAATTTCATTGGTTGTATTTAAAGGCTTCGATTGGTTAACCGTTTCTAACTAATCGAAGTCTTTAAATTCAACCAATAAAATTAATATTGTATCATCATATAGTCGGACAACGGATGCATGAAAATCCATTAAATGGAACCATTAAATGAATATTATACACGTAAGTACAATTTTATCGAAAAAAAAAAACCGCGTCAGCAATGCATACGAAATGAAGATCACTGTCATTTTATATGTAAAATGATATGGAGAATTTCCAAGCCAACTGTACGCCGTTTTTTTCGATCATAAGGTATTATTACACACATAAAGATCCCTTGATAAAGACCAACATTTTGTAGAGCAATAACATTCAATCCAATAATGGAAATAATGGACCCTGTTGCTCAAATCAAAAACAAAATTTCAGCATTACCACTTTATTGGTTATATAAATAAACCTAAAGAAATTGAGTTTATGACTCTAGATCGTACAAGCAAGCAGATATTAAATCACATAATTTTAAATGAAGATTTATCTATTATCATAGACTGAGCATCTCATTCATAAATAGCTGGAAAATGCGGTCAGACAATGTCTTGTTTGTTTTAGGTTCTAACGATTGCAACACGAGCGATAGATAGGTTGTCTCTGTCGTAACGGTAGTTCCCTGATGACTTTGACGAGAAATGCAACACTGTCTTTCGTTTTTCAGTACACCTGAACTTTCCGTATCATAGCCGGGTAATTTTTGGCCGAAGGCTATTCTGCCCTGTTAATTCAAAAGGGCGTATCCGCCTAAACCAAAAAACGGAGAAAATTCAATATCTGTGTTTTATTTTCTGCCGCCATGATGTTTTGTAAAAATACGAACTTTGGTTGTACAGAAAAAATATGTATAGTGATAGTTATTCTATTGTATCCTTTCAATTTCAAAATTTGATATCAAATAAGAGTTTTGATAGATACGCCCTTTTCGACTAACATGAACAATACGAATAACAGATACGCCTTTTAATTCTTCAGAATGGGTTATAATAATAAAGTAGAAAAGAAAACTTTATTACTAAAATTAATACATACGTCATAATATAATGACAAAAATAGACACAACAGAAAAATCTTAACCTAAATATAAACAAAAAACAAATTAAATAGACCGGTGATGGAGAGTCTCAATCATCCTCTTCCATTGGTGTCTCCTCTTTGCTTATTTCTGGCAGAGATTCCCAAAACTTTAGTCTATTTGGAGGAAAAATAGACCCTAGTCTTGAAATTATAGAGTGCTTCCTCTGAAGAGAGATTCCTCTAGGAACCTCCACCGGATTTGGCATTTTAATTCCAGTTTTGAAGCTCTTATGATTAAAAAAATTCAGTGTGATAAATGGCCCCTCAAAAGACTCTCGGTACGGAATGATTCTTTCTCCCCTGATAAATTGAACTTCAACCATGGATTTGAGATAAGGTCTTGGTATTATTTTATTCAGTTTATACTGGGATGTGTGATCTTCCCAGGAATAAAATGACTGCTCATTCATCACTGCCACGTTGATTCCTTTAAATGACGTATTCACAACATCCACATAATCATCAAAGTCATATACTTTTCCTTTTTTTTTCAACGACTTCTCAACTGCATGGTGAAAGGAGTCTGCTGCCATGAAAGTATGACCTGATTCAAAAAATTTCAGATTCAATTGCTTTAAAGCGACTTCGTTGAAATTAACCAAGTACACAAAGAAACTAAATATACACTAGTTTTTATTCTGTGCTGAACAGTTGTCGGCCCATAAAGTTACCTGTTCTGTGTCACGAATTTGTAAGAAATATTTATAGAAAGCACTTGTAATGTCACGTTTGCTTCTTCCCGCAATTGCTTCATGCCAAAGTACTGCCACAGGTGGAACTGTTGCTCTTTTTCCACCAGGAATGAAACTCTCATTAAAGGCGATCAGCCTCGGGACAAAAATGACTTCTTTGAAGGTATCACAACGGGGAAGCATTATAACCTAAAATAGTTGATACATATGTTACGCGCAAATATCGAAAACGCAAATATCGAATATCAGGTCAACAAGAACAAACACGAAGCGAAAAATTATGTCATTTCGGTATTTGGTCATTCGACACCGTCCGCAACGCGTTACGGTCGCTTTTTTCGCTCAATGAGCGTTTTCGAAGTTTGGGAGTAACATATGTTAATTTCAAGGAAAAAGAATTTCGAAAAAATATATACTTTTTGCAGATCCACTGTCACAACGGCTTCTAATTCAGCACAGTCTTTCTTGTAGTTTTCTCTTGCAGATATATATCGGTTATGATGGTCATTCCAAGATCTGCATTCGTGACAATCGAAAGATGGGTGGTCTTTTTGGTGACCACTTCCTTTTGAATGTTGTGAGAATATTTCACAGGCCCAGCACTCCTACTGGCCTAATTTCGACAATGAAATGTTAAGGCTGCTCACAACTTCTCTGTAGAGGTAGTATGAGAAATTTATCGATGGGTGCTTATCTTGAAAATCTTGATACATGTCCTTGATTGTGATGTCAGATGGCAAGTATTTTCTTTGTGGAGCATGCTCACGTCGATAATGTGCTAGGCTGGGATTAAATGATTGAATATGTTCCACAATTAATTCTCGATCAAACTTTTTATTGTTTGGTCTCCCACGACCATCCTTTTTTGGCATAACAGAGTTTCTCTCTATTTTATTAAACACACTTCTAATTAGTTTGTCATTGGATTTCTTGAAACCGAGTGTTGTAAGGAAGAATGCCTTGCATACTTCGACTCTAGAACCTTGATGATCTTTGAACGAGTAAATCACAGTATTGCTACGACGTGATGTTGACGCTGTAGTAGTTTCTCTCTTTAGAACAATCTTTGAGACACTATTGAGAATGAAAATCCTTCGATCGTTAATGGACATTTCCCAGAAGCTGTGATTGATTATTGCTCTTTGATTTGAATTAATTTTGTGCCCACATTTTTTTAAACAAGTGACACTATTGCAGGATTCCTTTATTGTGTGTCGCATTATCTTTATTCTTTTCTTCATAACTTTTCTCTCCTCAACACTTTCAATAAATCTTTCGTTTTCTTGGTCTTCCATCTTTGGTCAGTGTTAACTGCTCCGCCTTTTCTATTACGGTTATAAGCATACCTTCTAATATTTTGGTTACACAATATAGAGGTTCATTAGTATCTTGATTGAAAGTTAAGTTTGTCTGAGTAGTGGTGCTTATGATATCATTGATGCCCTTATTGTTATTACGAGAGCATAGCAAAATTGCGCCAGCGTTAGCGGGACGTATACAAATATTGCTTAGAATATTTATTTTCGTTGCGGATTGTAAAATGTCGGAATTCACTTCTAAACAGAGAAAACCAGTGTAAAATGACAAATGAACAAAATAGTGAACTTTCAACGACTTACCCAACTCTGACATGGTATGAGTTGATTCTTATTCAGAATCGCTAGAACTCGCGCTAGAATTATACGAACTAACAGGTTCATAATCGGGATCTGAAGCATTCTTTTTTCCACTAGTAGACTGGCGGCAAACGTCTTTTAACTTTAAAAATCTTTTCCCTTTGAAGCTTATTCAAAGCAAGTGAAACTAGTCGTTTCCCTCGCTCCATTTTATCGATTTTTTCACTATTATACAAAACGTTAATAGACGAAGACTAATCAAAACCCTGACCACGAATAATCAATAATAATAATTAATTTTGAGGTTAGGAAATACACCGATAATTCGCATGCGCATATAACATATGTTAATGAGAAAAGGCGTATCTGTGAATGTGTCTTGTAGATATGCCATTTATTTTTAACACACTCTGCATATACGACTTATGTTTGTAACAATATCACTTACGCCTTTTTAAGCTAACAAAGTTGATGAAAATGCAGATACGCCTTTCATTTTAAGGTGTTTCCTTTTGAGGTTAGGAAATACACCGATAATTCGCATGCACATATAACACATGTTAATGAGAAAAGGCGTATCTGTGAATGTGTCTTGTAGATACGCCATTTATTTTTAACACACTCTGCATATACGACTTATGTTTGTAACAATATCACTTACGCCTTTTTAAGCTAACAAAGTTGATGAAAATGCAGATACCTCTTTCATTTTAAGGTGTTTCCTAGACATAGTACAGTCGTATACGCCTTTTTACGCTAAAATAATCGAAGATATCTCATAAAGGAACCTGTATATGCTTTTAACTCATTTTCGAGAAAACTTGCAGATACGCCCCTTTGAATTAACAGGGCAGTATTAAGATCGGCAAAAAAAAAGTTTTTTTAGTTTCACTCAAAATGAGTTATTTGGGTCATAAATGACCTAAATGCAAAATATTTTCATAGTGTCTGTCTGTCCGTCTGTCGGTCTGTAACACGATAACTCAAAAACCGCTAAACCGATTTTAACCAAATTTGGCACAAAAATACTGTGGCAGCCGAGAATCTGGCCATTAGTTTTTGGTGGGGGTGGGGGGTTGGTAAGGGGCTATGGGAGGGGGTTAAAAATTTAAAAAATCGTAACTCCAAAATTACAGTAGCTAGCGAAACGCGGTTTTCAATTTAAGATTAGGAATAATATTTGCAACAAAATTTGTAATAACATCAAAATCAGTCAAAGTCGCAGTTTTTGAGATGAAAAAAAAATTGGAAAAATTCCTTTACTTTGAAACTAAAAGAACTGCCTACCAACTTTTTATTAACATATTTTAGTATGGGCGGCTATACGTGCCTCCCGGTGTCAATTTTTTATTTTGATGATGCTATAGTTCAATTTAAACTTTTTTATATTTTATAAAGATTTAGGAGAGATTTTTTAAATAAAAGTTTAGAAAAAAAGGCTTAGAGTCTAAAAACCATAAAAATAATAAAATACATGTTATAGAGGAAATTTTAATAATAAAAATTAAGTATTTAATTTTTGAAATTAATAATAAATTATTAATTTTAGTCAAACATGTACAACCCTAATATTAATCAAAACAGGATCTATTCTAT